TGCTCGGTGAGAGGGCTGTTCCTCTCCGCACATTATCGCGATAGGCGGCTGGTCGTCATATTGTTCGCTGCGAGACCCGACGCACATGCTAAACGATGAAGCGTCTGGTGAGGACCTCGATGACACCCCCCTTCCACTGAGCTCTAGCCGCACTTCCGTTTTTGAAAATGACAAAAGAGGCCAGCAACTGCGTTGTGTAAGGACTACAAGGGTCATATAGGAGTCAGAATTTTTCCACAGATTGAATAGATCCGTGATGGAGGATCCTGAACAGCACAATGATATAAATATGTATAATGATGAAAACTGAAGCGAAGCGGTCGCGAGCCACTTGAGCGGACCTCTTTTCTAGCCATCTCCAACGAACTCGCTCAGCGTCAGTGCTCCTGTAGATACAACAACTACAACTGGTGCGGTTGAAGTTTGACAGATGCTGTGATTGATGACAGACCTCTGGAAGCGGTCCTTGCCAGTGAAGAGGCTGCGTCTTCGACTATGATGAGCCTTGTTAAGTCTCCACTGGAGTGCTTTTTGTGGCGACAGTCTTCACATTTCGCCTGTCAATAGCTTGTCAATAGCGGTAGCTTCCGCCGCAGTTGCGCCAGTTGAGGCATTTTGTAGTCCCCACCAAGTTTACACTTACAGGAAGTTTATGGGTTTCATCAAGGTGAGACACGTATGCTAGAAAAACTAGAAGGAGAAACTAGCGAATTAGAAAAATGTCTATTCCTTGCCCCTTCCCCCCCAACCCAACACACGAATCAGCACCTGACTTGCGTTTCTAATATGTCCACAAAGAATTCGTATAACTTCAAACGTGGTCGAATTACTGCACCACCTAACACCTGCACAACTTTCTCGAGTAGGTTCTAGTGTTACAGCTTGACGGCTTTGTATGGGTGTCTCCAATCTGTTAGCGTTTTTACATGTATAAACAATTACTTCGAAAACTGACGGGAAGGTCGTCAGGTCGAAGTGGCCATTTGTAATGTGTTGTAGTTCAATATTTTTTTTTTTTTATTTTTTTTTTTTTTCTTTTTTTTTTTTTTGTTTTTTTTTTTTAGACGTGGTTTTGGACGCTGATCTCGAATCTGCTTTCAAAATTTGCAGAACGATTCTATGAAAGGGAGTTATGAAGGTTTGTTGTATTCAAAATGAAGGGAAACGGAGTCGAGCGCCGGTTGCCAGTCTTTGCTATAAAATATCCGGCGAAGCACCTCAAGGTTCAACGGCAGCATAGCGCAGTGGGAGTGCTCTTGCTTTATGGGCATGCATAGAAGGGTTCGAATTTCTGGAAGGGGACTTGTTTTGCATTTGCTGTTGGGGGGGGGGGGGGGGGGGGGGGGGAAATCTCATTTAGGTCCTAGGGAAACACTCAAATGCCAAATGGGTGCCATATTCATGTTCAGAGAGCAAAACTACCCTTGTAGACAAGTTTCTAGCCAGGAGTGAGGTTTTGACCTAACTATGAAAAGTGCGGTAGCAGTTGATCGAATGATGGTCACCAATAGTTCCAGGGCCAGTCTCTTGTCAACTGCTTGTCTTTGGACGGAATTTGCTTTGAGATAGCAGGGAAAGTGGAGCAGTAACAATATGAATGCGTAAGAAGTGGCAAGGGTTGTGCAGAGAATGTGTCTGCAGCTGAATAGGTGGGAACGTCAACTGAACTAACCCATGGATGCTTCACTTTTCGAAGTCAGGCCAAATGCCAGATTTGGCCTAGGAGACCTCTCTGTGAGAGCGTGTTCGCCCCATAAACAAGAATATGGCACTGGCTCAGCGCGAAAACGCCTGCACTGCGTGCCAAGGGCACCTGTACATTCAAAAATTCTTCTAGATCATAAGGCACTATGCGCGCCACTAAGTGAACGCAAACTGCTTCTCACGCAAGTAAACGAGAGCGCTAATAAAGTAAAGACGCCACAACCACTTTTTGCCATGTTTGCGCAAGAAGCAAAAAAATTAAGCTCAGCAGGGATCCGATCCCACGACCTGTTGCGTGGTAAACGCGGTGGAAAAAGCTCCATAACTCCGTTCAGAGAATCGTTCTGCAAATTTCGAAAGGCAGATTCGAGATCAGCGTCCAAAACCACGTCTAGTGAGCTACATCTCATTACAAATGGCCACTTCGACCTGACGACCTTCCCTAGTGCATTTTTGTTCAGACCTTCCCTGAGAAAAGTTTTCAAGAGATGGAAAGGGAGGTAGAAATTTTTTACTAGATCACATGTACTACGGCCTGAAGAGAAAAGGTCACACAAAACAAAAATACATATGTACAATTTCTTTGGACAGCTTCTGCCTTCACATATACTTCAAATCATGACTGCTTCGCTACCATAAGAGGCAGAACGATTCTCGCATCCAGCACACAACCGAGGTAACGTATGTACGCAGATGCGATCTGTAATAAAGCACATCAAGAGAGAATATAGATTCAGTAGTAAAGCATGCGGTACATAATGATGGTTCCATCCATAAATTTTGCAAATTTCGTCTTACACTGCGTCTACAAAAAATGCGAAATGTGGTAATTATCAATGCCAGCTGGTATGCCAACACCAATCACCAACTTGAAAGCATGAGATTTCTCCTTCGTACCTTTTCGGAGAACAATCTTTCTGATGAAAACGGAAACTGATTGTTCCACTAAACAATGCTAGTGGTCCAAAAAACAACACTACTAATATGAATCATTGAGAGCTTTTGTTAGCTTCAGCTAATTCCAGTGCGGTTTTGATTCTACTGAGATTAAGTTGTACATAATACGGTTACCCATGCTCGACTAGGGTTCGCCAATAAGCCTTCTCGACATGGTGCCATGCACCAATGATTGATTCCTTGAGCTCCCTGACGTTCTGGAATCGTCACTATTCGCATAGAGCTCGCGCACATGAAGTTGCACACATTTTCAAATTGTTTGAAATAGGGAATATCTGCTAGCCAGGGACAGTAAGAGAAATCTGATCACGATCGAGGGGTGCGGCTGAAATGAATTTGCGTGCGCTTCACCATGCGGCAGATCTTTCGAGTCGGATCTCTGTGGCCAAAAAAGAACAGCGGTTTGGTGTTGCATGTCGTAACGTGGAAGAGTTCATGTTCGCCGATGCGATGCACGAGACGTTCCCCTGATGCGATAGCAGCCCAGATCGCAACCCGGTGCTCTAAGGTGCCGTCTGGAGCATGAGGAAATGAAGCTTGTCTTTCCTCAGGTCGTGCTAGTAGGGTGAGTTACCAAGTCGATGCCGTCGCAAAGATTTTTTTATCCAAAACTCGACTTGGAGAAAAAATTCTGAAAAGAAGTAAAACCCAAGTAAGTGGGGTATAGCAGCTAAAAGCTAACATTGGTGCAGTTGGTTCGGCAATATCTTATTCTGAAGGCGACCCAGGTTTGGCGACGGTTTCCTTTCAAGAACGGTGCCTTCCTCATTTTGCTCCAGCCAAGGTAAACTGGGCAGTTCTTTACAATGGATTGCAAACCATCCTTTGTTGTTTTAAAAGTCACTGAGCTTCACAGATGACTGGTTGTACTCTCACGGCATTGCAGTGTAAGGTGCTGTCTTAAAAAACTGCGTCGAGGAAGACGTCCAGCGCTCCTTACGATACCTTGCAGTCCTTAGCGACATATTCTTGACTACATTAGTGATTGACGGCCAAATCCCATCGCGATTCGACTCGTCAGACAATATTAAGCCTGTTCATTGCGGACAATCTTAGTCTTTGGGTTTAAAGTCCAGTGAGGCTAAAATGTATAAAAAAAAACGAAATGCCAAGCCAGAAAACTCAGCAGTTGAGGTATCATCCTGCCCCCATTGTCAGACCTGACGCTTTTCAAAAAAATAATAAAGAAAAAAAGGTTGCGCGTTGAGGCCAATGTCTGCTAAGACATATATTTGATAACTGCTATAATTTCTCCTCGGAGGTATTTAGACGAAATTTTGTTGGATTTGATTTCGTAGGCTATCTTCTATGAGTGCAGTGTAGCCTGTCGCCATAATAATGGATGCCTCCATGGTTGTTCTTAAAAGTCATCGAAAAATATTGTTTTCATATTTCGGTAAAAGGGAGAAGTTGGATGCGCAGTTGACAAGTGGTGCCCCATAGCACTCGCGCGCGGTGCCTGTGGTTCAAATATCCCGGGTCTATTCTGATCGCGGGTCCAACAGGCCTTCTATGGTTTTCGCGGCGGTGTAAATTAGTACCAGAATCGTTTGGGAGGATAAGAACACTGACTTGTTCATTGAGCGGCCCCACAAATCATAGTATAGGTCACCTCGCATCCAAGGAGCTATTACGATTCTGAAGGAAACAGAATGCAGTGCTGCATCCCACAAAACGCGATTTGATCGCAAAGGCACATGGACTTATTCCTTTATCTTATTTCAGAAATGCTTGGAGTTTCATGACCACTTTTATTTCTTGTGCGCAGTATGGAACGCATAAGCAAATCAAACTGTTCATGGAGCTCGAGTCATTTATTGCGCCAACAAAGTCTTTTTCTTTTTTTTTCTTTGTTCAAGGTGAAGAGTGGTCATCAACAAAGGCAGCCTTAATCGAATGATGATCATCCCACAGGCAGCCTCACGACTGTCGTCTCTCGACAGGTGAGTAAGAGGGGATGAACTCGCAGTCAGCTGAGGGGAGGAATCTCCTTCCTTGAGTGAGATAAGAGTGTATTTGTTAGTACAGAGGCAGTGGCGATCTTACGGCACAGTGGTGAAGAATAAAGGCTCTAGAAGCTTGGCGGTGAGGACACTACCACCGAACATGTGTTCACCCTGAAATAGACAGCAACGCTGGTACCCTGGACGCGAAGGGTATCAGCGTTGCTGTCTATCGTCTCTCTAATCTCATCTTTCGGATCTCGTGGACGCCTTCTCTCTTATAGGATTTTGGCATTTTCGGTCTACAAGCACTTACGTCCAATGTGGATGTAAATGGATCCGTAAAAAACGGTACTCAGACTGCTTGTTCTGTTCCATTTGAATTGGAGAACGATATTATCTCAGAACTGAGGAGTCAAAAAAGCACCATACCCTTAGGGTTGCGAGTTTGGAGATCTTCACATCTAGCTCAATTGGTAGAACGGACTTCAACCGATCAAACATATCACCGAGGTGCTGGACGCGATTTCTTTCTCGAGCATTTGCCTCAGACCTGAAACGGCTGCAAATTTGACGTCGCAGAAAAGTCGGAAGATGAGTGAAATGGGATTTGTTTGAGAGGGTGTATTTCAAGTGCCAAGGCGTATAAAGTGGACAAGATTTTGCACTGTACCTCCAGCGACAAGGGTCAAGCTTAGTGAATAAATATAGACAAGTAGTGCGCATCGTAATGCTTCCTCTCATTACTGCCTTTACATCACTGACGAGAATGTGAGGGGGCATTCTCGAGAAAAGTTCAGTGCACTTCTGTCTGTGTTTGACGCATAAAATTGTCCAGCATGGAAACGATTTTATGTTACCTTCGCCTATTTCCAACGGGTTTCTCTCTTTGTTCAACTGGCTCTGACATTCGCTTCTCACATGCGCCCTCGAGCTCCCTGGTAATTTTCAGTTCTGGTCGCGAAAACATCGAGAGCAGTAGTTGCTGTTGTACAAGTTTCATCAACAGTTGGCTGCTACTGTCGTTTTCCATCTTTGTCTCACAGAGCATACTCTCTGATATATGGTGCGCGATCCTGAAAAAATATTATTCTAGAATGGTAGAGCGAATGTCGATGTGTATGAG